AATTTTATTAGTTTTTTTTTTTATGAATATCAATAAAAATTTATTTGTTGAGTAAAAATACTTGAAAATTTAATACAAGGCTCCTACTATATTGTTTCAAAGACAGATGAAAAATATTAAAAATCGTTAGTCACAGTTTTTTTTTTCAAGCATTTAAAGTTCAAAAAATGACAAAATATGGAAAAATCACGAAAATTTGCAAATTATTTCGAGTTAGAAATTCATAAAAATTTTTCTTTTTAAATCTAAGATATAAAAATGTAATACAAGATTCCTTATAAGATTTCTTACATTTATCAAAAACAAAAATTCTATAAGAAAGTCAAATTAATTTTTTATGAGCGTTTGAAATTCAAATTTTTACAACATTGGATATTCACTCGATTTCTCATGTGGCGATTTCCTTATTTTGTTGTAATTCAAAAACGAATTACTGTATATACATGAAAATTTCACTGAATGTTTATATTAGCATTTCCTATACACCATACAATTTTGAAAATATTTTGACTCTTTTTGAGCTGTTTACGGACATTTTCAGTTTTCAATTTTTTTAGTTTTTTTTTCTATAAATATCAATAAAGTTTTATCTGTTGGGCCAAAAAGTGTAAAAAATTAATACAATGCTCCTGATATATTGTTACAATAGCAATTGAAAAATATTAAAAATACATATGCACAATTTTTTTCTATAAGCATTTAAAGATCGCATTTTGACAAAATTTATCAAAATCTCGAAAATTATCAACCATCGTAATTAATAAATTATAAAATGTTCAGTTTTTATAGCTAAAGATTGAAAATTTAAAAAAAAGATTCTCATAAATAGTTCATACTGTAGCCAAAAAATCTAAAAAATATATGAGCACAGTTATTTTTTACAGACATTTTAAGTTCAAATTTGGGACGAAATTACATATTCGTAAAAAACCTAGCATACCTATTTTAGTCATTTTGTTGTGAGTGTATAATACTATTCGTGAGTACTTGAAACTTCTAAAGTACACTATAGTCTATATTATATATCAATGATAGTATCAGGGTTTGTTATTGATGTATAACGTGTTATAAGTACCTAGTGGATATTGTGATATGATTAATTTGGAATTTATTATAGGTCAATTTTTTTTTTAATACCATAGATATGTATATAATATGTCTTAAACCTAGACTGACGTACCTTCTTTGCTCAGAATCGTTTTTCTTATACAATGATATTGTATCATTGAATTCAAATTTAATACCATCCATTATACAGTGACCCACTTGTAACTTACTGTACAGCAGAGCGACATCCACTTACCCACCTTTTTTTTATATTTTGCTATCATTTTTTTCTGTCATATATTTGGTACCTATTATTATAAAAAATTTCAAATAAATATATTGTCAGTAGAATAAAATACAATATAAAAGTTATGGATACCTCATTGTATAATAGAGAACACGCATTAATAAGTTACCTAATTAATAAATTACATAAAAAATTACAAAAAAATATCTCATCCTTGCTTTAGTGTAGACATCTAATTGTGATACCGCTTCAGCATACATCTGCGACGGATTAGCTCCAGAACACTTAGCATTCTGTTTAATTTTGTTTATGGCTTTTGCAATCTCGATTTTTGATTGTTCAGCAGGGTGCTGATGTTGAACTTTAAGAATGGGGTCTGTTTTATTTATTGAGGTGTGGAGAATAGCTGGACAGTTTAGAGAACACTTTTTATTACATCTCCATGTGTAATAATTTTTTCCTGCGTGCTTCATTACGTACATATAGCCATTGAACGCTAATTTGTCTTTGCCTTTATTTCATATTTGATTCTATTATTTCCATAATTAATCACAAAAACTTTAATACTTTAAAACCGATGTTTTCTAGACGTCTACACTGTGTCACAACTAAATAGGTAGATGGTCAACTAAATAATAACTATAGCCACTACTCAATAGGTAATACCTATATTATTATTAACTATAACAAAATGATGCATGTGTGAGTGTGCCTGTATTATCTAGAGTCAAGACAGTTATCTAGACATTATCTAGACAGTCTAAATAAGTCCGATTTTGTATCAAAAACCTATATGATATATACAATATAATGTAATGAATAAATGAACAACATAAGCTGTAGGTACCTTTTTTATCTTAATGGTATCTTTAATAATATAAAATATTATCTTTATATGGTTAAATACTTGTGCATTTTATACACACTCATATAGGTACATACACACACCCCAACAATACTTTCCTAGAACATAGTACCTATACAATTATTTACAGTTTATACTTATATTCTATTCTACTGACAAAATATTTATTTGTAATTTTCTGATTTATTAACTAACTCATTAATTTTTGTTCTTTATTATACAACAGACAGAATACCTAAAATATGATAGCAAAATATGAAATTTGGTTTTTATTTTCATGATTTTTTTTTCATTTGGTTTTTTACGTTTTGGTCTTTATTTTTTGGTTTTTTTTTTCGTGTTTTTTTTTTTCCGCACGCCATATAAAGATACAACGCGGGGGCAAAACTCAAAGTAGAGACCCTAAGAGTGAGCAGCGCAGCCTGTGGCCGTTCAATCGTGCGACTCATTTCGGGGCGTTTTTTATGCGTACGAGTTTCATGGTCTCCCCATTCAAGTATTCCCGGTATACCAATATTAGTAATACCTAAATAAATGGTCCAAATGGTACGGACAAATATGAACCATGATTTTACTTAAATACAATGAGTTTGTTGGTTGTTTGTTTATCCTATTAATATAGGATGTTATTATTATGTAGTACAAATTATAGTACCGATGTATTGTAATATGCGCTAGCTAGAACTGTTTACGGACATTTTCAGTAACAATTTTTTTAATTTTTATTTCTATGAGTCAATAAAATTTTATTTTTGGGTAAAAATCTTGAAAATTACTACAAGGTTCCTAATATATTGTTAAAATGGTATGTGAAAAATATTAAAACAGGTTACAGTTTTTTTTTATAATCATTTAAAGTTCAAATATTGACAAAAATACTTGAAGACGACGAAAATGTACAAATTATTTTGAGCTAGAAATTCATAAAAAAACATTTTTTTTTTTAATTTTTAAGATTTGAAAATGTAATACAAGACTCCTTGTACCTTTATTAAGAAAAAAAATTTCTATTAGAAAGTCAAATTAAATTTCTATGAGTATTTAAGTTCATATTTTTACAACATTACATATTCACTCGATTTCTCATGTAGCGATTTTCTTATTTTGTTGTAATTCAATAACGAATAACTGTAAATACATGAAAATTTCACTGAATGTTTATATTTTCATTTTCTATACATCATACAATTATGAAAACATTTTGAGTGTACGCACAATTTTAAATTTCAAATGTTTTAGTTTTTTTCTACAAATATCAATAAAATTGGTTGGGCCAAAAATCGTGGAAATGTAATACAAAGCTCCTGATATATTTCTACAATAGCTGTTAAAAATATTAAAAATACATATTGACAATTTTTTTGATAAGCATTTTAAGTTCGAAATTTGACAAAATTTAATAATTATTAGTAGTGAAAAATTTATAAAATGTTCAACTTTTATAGCTATGGATTGAAAAATTAAAACAAGGTTCCACGTAAATGGATCATATATAAATTATTATATATTTTATTCACAATTATATCATCAAATATACTTAGGGCCGTTCTTACGACGTCCGGTAAAAGTTAACCGACACTTAACCGGAAGAATTCTGCCGGTAATAAAATCTGTTATCAGTCGGTTAGCGTTAACCGACACTTTACCGGACATTGTAAGAACGGCCCTTAGTAATTTCATAGGCTGACTGACCGCCTTCGCTCAGAATCGTTTTTCTTATACAATGATATTATATCATTGAAATTAAATTTAACACCATCTATTACACTATTACAGAGACTGACTTAAAACCTACTGTACAGCAGAGCGGCATCCACTTACTTGCCCACTTTTTTTTTTTAAATTTAAAATGTTTTAATTCAAAATTAAAATAGACCAGGATTTATATAAAATACCTACCCATATTCTCTGCCAATCATATTAACTTACTTATTTATCCGAAAATCTAATTTTAAGGGTTAAAGAGTTCATTTTCAAAAAAGTGGTCAAAGTCGTCTCCAAGACAACTTCATGACGAATATTCAAATACATATGTTTCATAAATTTTATCCGATGACTAGGAGAGACGGTACAGTTGGCATAAAGTAGGCCTGTTTTGGCAGAGAACAGATACGGCTATTTAAAATTTTATAGTCGTATAATATTATAATATTTATCATTAACTACCAGTTGGGTATAAAAAAAAATCAATAATGAGAATTGTATGGTTCTCTAAGCGTGAAAGTTTTATTAATCCAAAATTAATATAATATTTATGTACTTAAATCCATGACGTCTATTTCTATGCTATTCTAGAATGCTAGATAGATCTAAAAAAACCTAGTAATTAATAAAATACAAATAGTTATCTATAATTTTATCAACAATTTTACTATTGAGATTTCAAACAATAATTGTTTTTATCAAAATTATTTGTAAACAGTAAGTTGTATGTGTGTAGGTATCGTGTATGCATATTGTGATTTCTAGACACCGAAACTCGACTTTCAAATTTTTCCGCCTTCGAAATGAAACCGCCAAAGAGCCAGGCCTTATCAGAAATTCTTATCACAAAATCACCTCCGATTACAAGAACCACCTTCTATATTATTATTATAGCAGTACAAATCATAGTTACGAGTACAAATCAAGCCTCGGTTAAGCTTGAACCACTGATTTTACCGGCCGAATTCGGTGGTTTGACCGGAGTTCAACCATTGGAATGCGGGCCCCAAGTCCGTGGTACGACATTTGCAATTTGTAGGCTCCAAAATCGGTACTCATTTACGACTACCTACCTACTTTGTACCAATACATTATTATCGCTGTGAAATATTATTATATTCTCTACGCGATTATACGATGGACCTAATAAAGAGTTACAGCGGAGACAGCGATGACGAGCATGAGTAACGTTTTACACTATTGTTATAGATTTAAGATTAAATGAAACCAGTGGCGTCCGCAGGATTTTTCAATGGGGGGGGGAGGGGGGCTTGAAAATTAGTTACATTTTTATTTTGTCCAGTCTAATAATTTTAGACGTTTATTTGAGGTATTTTAAAATTTTTGTAACTTTTCAACTTTCTGGTAGAAAAAATGCTCTGATCATAAGCTACGATGCCCAGTGTATGTTTTTGGAAGCAAATTGGATCCAGTTGGTACTTTTAGGGGGTCGAAATTGAAAATTCTCAGTGCTTTTAAAAATAATTGGAGAAAAAAAAATGAAAATTTATTTAAATGTTTGGTTATACCGTCTTCACTTGGATTGTATTTGAATAATTATTTTTTTTTTTTCTATATAAATGTTAATTAAAAATTATATTTAATTATTATAACATAATTATATTTATCCGGTCAAAAACCTTAAAAATGTAATATATAAGTTATTTTATTATAGCTAAAATATTAACGATACATAGGCATAGTGTTTGAAAATTTCATGAAATTTAAAAAAATGAAATATTTCAGTATTTTGATATATTTTGTTTTATTTTTAAATAAGTTTTATATTTACATATAATTGTCATAAATTACCTTCACAACTATATAGTACCTGTATGTATACCTAACCTTTGATATTATATATTTAAAATGGTATTCAAAATTTTTAAATATTTTAATGTTTAAATGAGACAAGTAGGTATACAATATTATACATGTTTATTGTATAAATACTGAATTCTGTCATTAGAATTTAGAACACTGAACATTGTGTTAAAAAAATAAATAAATTGTGTTTTTATTTGTGTAAACAAATTTCAAAGTGTCACGTTTTTGTGGAATATTTCATACTTCAAACACTACATAGGCACCATGGTTATTTCTTATAAGCATTTAAAGTTCAAATTTCGTCAAAATGACAGTTAATTTGTAGTTCAAAACTTATAAAATATAAAATATATATAGCTAAGACTAGACAATTTAATACAAGGTCTTTCATACAAGTAGTTCATACTTTTACCTAAAAATTACAGATAATTTATGAAAATTGGTATGCAAATACAATGTTCTTTCAAAAATGAATTCATTCTGGTAAGACATATATGAATTTTACTTCTTGCTTACTATAGTTGACAGTTTAACTTGATTAATATTTTTTTGAAAAAGTAACAATAATACGGGCAATGGGGGGCTTCAGCCCTTTAGCCCCCCCTGCGGACGCCACTGAATGAAACATATTATGTGTATTTATTTTAAGTTTAATTTAATGTGTGGTATTATATTTTAACTATTATTATTTTATTACATTGTGCCTGTGACTTGAACAACACAGACCAAAAGTTTTTTTTATGATAATAATTGTTGTTTTGCACCATAGTGATCCCGAACAAAAAGCGTTGCCAGTACCTGAAGCCATTGCGTCAATGTTTGAAGGTAGACTGTATCATCCAAAGCCAAAAGACGAACCAGATTCCCACCAAGGACGCTCTCGTTTGTTTGAACATGAACGTGGTAATTGGGCTACTTACGTATATGTACCGTGTGAGTCGGTAGTTATATATCTTGTATCTACTGTTGAGTGGTTCTTTGGTCATTATTAATAGTACCTATATGTTTTTTTTTGAAGGTCCAGACATGGATTTAGTAGAGACTGTTCAAGATCAATTGGCCGAATTTGGCCTAGAAATTATTAAACATCCCCACATCAGCCTTACAAAAACAGTTGTACTCCAGTATCATTGGATACAACGATTTATCAATGATGTAAAATCCAAATTGTCAACAATTCTAAGGTTTTCTAATATAACATTATTCATTTATGTTTAAAATAATTTTAACATGTGAATACAATTTTTTTTTAGATTTACAGTCAATTTTGGAGACTTAGAGGTATTTTGTAATGAAAATCGTAGTAGAACATTCATTGGTTTTCTTGTATATCCTGCAGGAGTTTTATCTCAATGTGTTGATCAACTGGACAATGTCTTATCCGATTATAATTTACCAAAATACTATGAAGTGAGTGTATAGAAAGAAAAAATAGCACCTTATTATAACTACAGCACACTAATCAAAATAAGAGACTGAGATTGTCTTTTCATTATAACTCAGTCACTAGAAGTTTTTTCTTTTAAACTGTTATTTAGATAAAAGTATTATAATATGTTACTCATAGCAACACATTTTTAAAATTAATACCCGTTATAATTTTCTTTAATATTTATATACTCAATAATAAATTTTCTTTCTCTCACTACTTGATATCTTTTAATATAATATTAATATTGAACTTTTTTTAGCAATATTTATAAAAGAAATTCCATGATTTACCTGGCTGTCCACATGCTTAAACAATACTTATATTTTATAAATCTAATGACTATATAACTATAATATGTTTTTATTTAATTAACAGACTGTTAATTTTTGTTCAAGGATCCAAAATTTCATTTGAGTGTTGCTTGGTGTTTGGGCGATCAGTCTACTCAGCTAAGGACTAAGTTAAAATCATTAGAACTAGAAATAGAAGTTGACACTTGCCGTAGTTTAAGAGTTGACAAGCTTATGTGTAAAACTGGCAATAAAAAATATAATTTTGATCTCGTTTAATAATGTCGAATATGCATAAAAATAAATAATGTTTTACCCATTAATATATTATTTATTTTTAAGGTTACATACAGTTATTTTTTTAATTACACTAATTTCCTAAACAGTAATCACTAATTACTAAAGATCTTATTTGAATCAAATTGTCTTTTTAGGGTTTGCATTTACATTGTAAAAAATGTATTAAACATGTAATAATGTATTAAAAAAATATTTTTTTGTGGGCATTGATTAGATTTTCCATTGACTTTATATTATAAAAACTCAAATGTTAAATCAATGCTGTAGGTTAATAGTACATATTATTATAAAAATATGATTTTTAAATATTGTGATGGCGTATATTACTTTTGTGGAATATAAGTTATATGTTCAAAATTCAAATGTACAATGGAGTAAACTAAATATAATGGTATCAAATAATCAAAAATATTGTCCAAAATGTTAATAAATAGAACACATGGGTATAAGTTACTCTATTTGAATTTCAAAATAATCGCTATTGTAGGTATCTCTTTAATGCTAATCCAGAATGAATTTGCTACCAGATCACATCACATGACAAATAATTCACTTATGTCCATTAGATGTCTTAGCCACAAAATGTTAGCTGTGCACATATCTCAGATTTTGAGCCTTGTGCTATACATTAAAATATAATATAATTCACACTTAAAAGGACATTGATTCCACGGCGTGTTACACCCAGGAATTGAACAATACAAATTTTTTTTCCAGGCAATGCCGGGTAATTTTGCTAGTAATGTAATATTATATTACCCATCGAGATAGATAAACAATACTGGAGCGCGCTCTTACCAATATCGTCCGTGAGACGAAAACGAGCCATGTCTTGAACGTTACCCCCACCTCTGCAGGGCAAAAAAAAAACCGCAAACTTGCGAACGTCCTAGAGAACATAAACGCCTCATAATAATTTAAGTACTTCCACTCGTCCGATTTTAAAAATTAAAAACTATTTGTACTTGTTAACAAGCCTACTATACAGCGATATAGTTTTAAACAGAAAAATAAAAATAAATAGCTGCACAAATGACAAAAGTATAAAACGAATAATATAGACATTTATCGTGTTTACAGCTAACCAGTTACCTTTAAACATAAGCAATAATATTATAATCCAAATTTTATAGAATATAAATAATTTAATCAGTCATTCAGTCATCCATTTAAATTAAAATTAATAGTTAATACCATATATACCATATTGTATTGAAATAAGTACAACAATATTCCAAAATTTAACTTTTTAAGTAGGTACTTATTACTATATGATAAATAATTAATTTGGAATATTAACATATAATATTGTAATAGGTAATGTAGGAAATGGGAAACAATAAATACAAATTCAACACAAAAAAAGAAGAAGAAATAAGATATATTTATAACATTTATTTATTTTAAATCAATACAAATACAATATAATATTTATACAATTTAAAAACATTAGAACAAATAGAATATCTTTATAAAATTTACATTTTAAACATTAAAACAAATTTTAATTTAATTTTTAAACATTTTGAAATAATATTAGTTTAGTTAATTTTTGTCTCAAAGAACTTTTATTTTTTAATACTTCCTTTGCATTAACTTCTTTAGCATAATGTCGCATTCTAATATTTATGTAGCTCTCACTAAGAGCTGAGAATAGTTTATGCTCATGACTAGGAGAACCAAGTTCGACATTTATAGGATGAGTATTAGGAAAAAAGAATAAATTTGACTTATTTAATATAATATTCTTCCTTGCTAGCATTAAAATATTAGTTTTTACATTTGTATGTAGTTTTTTTTGCATGACCACAATAAGTTGAAAGGATTTTTCCAATTCTTTAAGAATTAAAGAAACAGCAGGAGAAACTATTTTTAATTTTCCTCTGGTAATAAAAGAGGTAAAGTTTATATTTTTTGTGTAGCTATGGTCAGACTGTCCATCAATTAATATATCTATACAAAAAGGGCAAACTATTTTTCTAGATATATTTCTTACAATATATCCAGCAATATAATCTAATATTTCACCAGTATATTCTTTTAAATATAAATTGGATAAAAGATTTTTATATTCATCACCAAACACATCCAACTCATCAAAAACATCATCATTATTAGTAGATTTTTTAATACTTCTTTTTTCAGAACGAAAATCCAATATATCTCCACCGGGAATTTCATAATATGAGCAATTTCCATTCTCAACAATAATATTTTTGGTGTACAATAATTGCCTCAAGGTTTTTTTAAATTGAACACAATTTGGGTTATTATTGTTCCCACCCCTAGCTCAAATACACCCAAAAAAAGTTCAATGTGGTCTTGTGAAGTTTTATAAGTCAGAACATATTTAAGAGAATTTTGGGATCTATAAAGAAGCTTATATGCAATTTCTATGGTACTAGACATAGTTACTATGAAGCCTAAAATAAACATTTTCCTTCCACCCAATATTAAGAGGTTATTCTCACATTTTAAAGTTTTTAAATAATCAGACGTGTCGTTAAAAACCGATCTTATTGTAGCGATATTACCCGGGTTTGTACGACTTTTGTAACCTTTGGAAAATGGTATTCTGGAATTGAGGATATCAAATATTCGATCTATTTGTCTTATAAAATATACTGTAGCATCACTGTTCTGGAATGATGGTTCACCTTTTTGCTGTAAGTATTCAATTGCATCTGCTACTCCACTGCTGAGTGTCTGGGCAGCTAACTTCACTTTCATAATAGAATTTTTGTAATTAATATGTTGTGAACTTAATTTATTAGCAAATTTTAAGCCAAGTTCATTTTGAAATGCATTTAGAGAGCTTATGTACTGCCATTTAATATCACCAATATTAGATTGAATAATTTGTTTATCAGCCAAAGAAGATCTAGCAAGTTTAAGCATATGACAAGTATCAAAAATAGAATATACTTCAATTGATCTATTTGCATTATTTACAGTAAATTTTGTGTTCAAACTATGCGTCTCAAAATTACAGCCTAATTTTTTGAAGCTTTGTAAATTAGAAGGAGCACCATCGCAAGTTACATTCCATACTTGATACTTGTATTCCAACCTCATTAAGTTTAATAATAGCAGTAGATATTAAGGTACTTAAAACACTACTGTTAATTTTGTTGACATAAAAAAAACCAATAGGACATTTAAACTGTCTAGTTAAGCTAACTATCATTAATACTAAAGCTTCAGTTGCTAATTCAGAATTTTCACCAGTACCAAAATCAACATTTCCTGCATATCTACCTTTATCTGGTTCCCAAACTAGTTGCTTTCTTAAAGACATTGAATCATGAACAAGTGAACAATCTTGAAGCCAAGAATTTTTAGAAACTTCTTGTTTCAAAAACAAAAATACTTCTTCCAAGAAGCCAGGTTCACATTCTGTACTACTTAACCATTTTCTAATAGTTGAAGGATGCGGTAGCGTGAACATTTTGCGTACATATTTATAAGCTTTAGGTGAATAAAAAAAAAGGGTTTTAGCAAAGTCTTTCATAGCATTTGTATAGCGAACACCCTTCTTATGAAGCATTTTAGACTTATGTTCATGCAATAATAATGTTAATGGAAACCCACCAAAATTTTCTTCCAGCATTTGAGTTACTTCATCAGAATATGTAACATTTTTTTTTATTCTTAGAATCAAATCTAAAAAAAAATCTTGATTAAAAAATCTAAAATATATAGTTATACATGTATATAGTTAAAATTACCTTTTAATGATTTAATTTTACTATTTCTTCTTTTCAATCGTTGTTGTAATATCTTAATCTTGTTTTGGTACAATTTTTTATTAAAAGTTTTAATATTACACTGCACCATTTTATCTTCCTTTTGGTGAGATGTTTCACTCTGGTAAAACTACAAACATTAGATATTAAACAACAGATAATTATTCATTACCATTTACCAGATAAGAGCTTATTATTATGAGTATTAACTTAAAATCCAAATAAATTATAAATTAAACAATTTGATAATACCATGGTATTAGTGGATGAATCTTCGCCAGCTTCATTAACTATTTCTGCATGAATCATATTATTTTGATCATTGGCCTATAATAAATTTAATAAATTAGTATACATTATTAATTATTATACTTAAGTAGGTATTTGAGTACACATAATAAAATAAAAATAAAAACGCTGCTTTTAAGCAATTGAAAAAAATATATACTTAAGTAGGTAGTAAATAATATAATATTATAGGTAGGTACACTAAAATATATTATGTAGTATGTAAATTAATTGGAAAATTAGTAGCTGTAAAAATAATACAGTACATAACATAATACTAGTATCTATAATATTATAATATATTATAAATTGTATGTATGGTGTAGGTAGATATTTTTAAACTACCTACAATTAAATTTTTAAAAATAGACTAACCTTTTGACGATTTTGAAGTAGTGGACGACTAGCTTTTTGTTTTTTTTGTAAATGCTGAGGAAATTTAAAGACTGATGGAACTGCTTCATCTTTTAGCAACTTCTTATCTAACTCTGGACGAGATTCATTTAAATAATCACTAGGTGTGAAATGTTCACTGCATAAATAGCTGTACTGGTTGGGTGTAAAATTTTTTCGTCGTATTTCATGTAACCATTTTTTTAAAACGTCTGGTCTTCTTAGAGGAAATCTAGAATTATAAAGTGTGTTCATTGAAAATTATGAGACGAGATTTTGATTTTTGATAGAAATATTCAAATATGTATTACACTTACCGATGGAAATGTATCCCGTTTTCTTTCTGTCGCCTATTTGTACACCCATACCCTGAACATGATACAACCATATTATTATTTATAATAATTAGGTACCTATGAGTTTTAATTTTTAACTTGAACGAAATTCCGATGCCGAATTGCCGAATCGTAATAATTATATTATATTAATTAATAATTAATATTAATTCGCTATAAAAAGGTTAGGTTAGAATGTAAACTGATATTTTCTTGCCCTGCAGTGGTGGGGGAAGCGTTTAAAAATTTGGCTCGTTTTCAGTATCAGTGTACGCGCTCCAGTATTGTTTATCTATCTCGATGATATTTCCTATATTATATTATTATCTGTGCTGTAGATTGTGGATGATACAATGATAAAGGAATAACATTTAAGGCTTGGCCACACTGTCTCGGATAATATAGATAATATCTAAATTATATTATCTGTGGGCACAAAAGATACATGTCTGATAATAATATTATTGTGATAAACAGTATTTTTGTAATAATTCGTGTAAGTAGTCAGTGATCGAGTATTGAACATTTTGAAGAATTACAGAATCTACCTATTCCGATCATAGAAAATATATTATATTCGGTAACTGATTCAGTGTTACAATTATTTCAACGATAATAATATTTAAGATTTATAATTAAAATGTACAATAGTTAATAGGTACTGAGAACGAGAGAAGTAGAGAACTAAAGAAGATCTCCTCTGTGTCGTGTTTGTAATATAATTTATATCTTAATAGCTTAACTGTAACAGTAAAGAAATAATTTGTTATTTCAGTGTCAAGGAACCTCTTTGAAAAACACACAGATTCATATCAGTGCAGACACTCATCTGCAGGAATAAATTAGATAATTTATATAGGAGCTTGTGTGTTGCCATAATGGATAAGTGAGTACCTATATTGAATTATATTCTAGTTGTTGATCTGTTACAATTATGTGTCGTGTACATTGTACCTTCTATTATTTGAATTTTAGAACTGAAAAAGCTTTGGAAAAATTACAAATTGAAGTACCCGATGATGAAAGTTGTGATTGCAATGATGAAGAATGCATTGGGTGCTTTTGGCCCTGTGAATCATGCCAGTCAAACAAATGTGGACACGAATGCCGGTCAGTTAAATATGAAAACAATGAAAATTTAAAATAAGGAATTGTGTATTTTCAAATTTATATCCTTAAAGTAGAACTTACTCTTAAAGTAGAACCTGTACATCATCAGGAGCTCTGATGATTTATATTTCAACTTGTAAGACAGTGATTTTTTATACAAAAAATTAACAATATATAATGGTAGATCTTATAATTTCTTTAATACAATTTTAATAGGTTTCAAAACATATTAATTTATTCATACATTTTTCTAAATAGAATGAACTGCGGTAATTTTATATTACAATATAGCTATGTACCTTACTAGACTCCAGATTTGTTTAATTTCATCTATTTTTCTTACTTTGAAAATTAAAGAAAACAATTTTCAAAAAATATTGTTCTTAAGTATATACTTTTAAACCTTTTGTACTTCTATAATTACATATGCAATAGATTTAATTGTACCATAGCTACAGAATATAACAGGAAGTAACTAACTAGGTATATAATTAATAAATGCGAATAAATACATTATTGCATACGATTACTTTATGTTTGATTAAAATCATAGCCAATCAAAATTATTTGTCCTTTTCATTTCTCACAAGCTTCAAGCACACTTGAAGACACCCTTAGTCCGAAAATACCCAAACCTTTCTTCTAAGGGCCGCTTTCACCAAATACTTTAAACTTCGATTACGCTTAATCGACTGATAACAGATATTTAACCGGGCAAATTCGGCCGATTAAACCACGGTTTAACTTTAATCGGAGTTTAAAGTAGTGGTGAAAGCGGCCCTTAGACACTTATTTCAATAAAATAAAAAAACTTAATTTTTTCATTCTATTAGTCAACTTAAAAATTAAAATTAATATAATTAAGCAAAATAAATTGTCATGTGTTGCATATAATTTTTTTGTTAAATTAATAACTGGTTATTGATATTTGAAATTACACAAAATATTGTTAAATACAATTTGAATATGCTGTCATATGTAACATATTTATAGTACGTGCAGCTAACTTTTAAACATCCATTTTTTGCTACACAAATTGTCTATATTTTTTATTCTCATTGAGTTGCACGCAGTTAATATAAAATATAAAAAATGCTCTATCCACACCTTATAAATCATAATACCATGCTTTATTTGTTAATATTTAACTTTTTTTCAGTATCAACCGTATCAGTGGTTGGAAATATGAAGTATGGGAAAGAGAAGGAAGAAGTGATAAATAATAATTTGTATCTTAATTATATTGTAAATATTGTAAAGACAATTGAATACAATTTAATTCTATGATGATATTGTTAATAAATTGTATACTTTTTATCAATCAACAAATTTGTATAGGAATAACCAAATAAACTTTGAAGTTATTCACTATATTTTTGTCCATTGATGAGGGTTTAACTTTAAATAATATTATATTCATGAACTAACTTTTATCTTTTCATAGGCAAAACTTATAATATTAGTATTTGCTAATTTTTAAAGAATATGCATAGATAAAAATCAGTGGTGGATCCAAGAATTTTCTAAGGGGGGAGGCGCGCATTTTGTGTACATTTTATTATATTGGTCTTCCGATTTTTTGTCAAACTTTCCATTTAAGTTAAAATTGTATTCATTTAAAACAGTGATCTCAAACTCAAATTACCTACGGGCCATATATTTTTTCAAAAAAAATTCGAGGGCCAAATTTTAAGTGTCATTTTTATACTTATACACTAGAAACTAAAGACAAAATGAAGGCAAAAATACATACAAAATCCATTTATTTACTTATTATTACTGCAAAATTATCATTGAAAAACTATAATGAACATTAACTTAAAAAAAAAATTATAACTAAAATTTAAAAATAGCTTGAATATTTGATAATTTTTATTTTTGAGCTGCACTTGAAACTTGACCTTTTCTTTTGTACCAAGTCGTCTATATTTGCTCAAGAATTTCTTGATGCTAAATGTAAAACAGATTGTAGTTTGACATTTGAAATTTGATTCCGACTTTTTGATTTATTTAATTTCATGAGAGAAAATAATTGTTCACATACATAAGGGCTACCAAACATGGATAAAATGTTAGAAAAGTGTTTCTTTAGTTTTGAATAACTGTTTCCAAGATATTTAAAAATTTCTGGAACTCCTACAGTTTCAAATTTTGATTTTAAAACAGAATTACATTGCAAATCAATTAACTCAAGTTGTAAATCGTCCTTCACATGTTCTACATTTATAGACAATGGCTCACTAAAAAGTAGAAAATCATCTTTACACTTTATATCTTTATTTTTATTGTGGGCCACATAGAAATTGTTCGTGGCCCGCGGGCCGTATGTTTGAGACCACTGATGTAAAAGTATTTTTCCAAATATGTTTAAGATTTAATTTATATCTAGAAATGTAATAAATATAGGTATAGGTATGTACAGTAAAGACTCCATATAAAGAACTTCCATTTAACAATATTCCTGTTAAACAAATTATTTGTGAGAATCCAAGCTCCATTGTTAACCATGCGTAAATTATATTAAAAAAATTCCTTTATATTACGAATTTGTTTTGTTCCCCACTAGACTTCGTTGAATGGAAGTTTAACTATATATAATGAATCAAAATTAATATACATGCTGAAATTAATATTTTACTTAAGTAATATAACTAATATAAGCAGTAAGTTTAAGTATTAGTATAGTTTAAATACTACATAATTATATACTTACTATAAATGTATTACCAATATATCATTTTTCATAAGTTCATGTTTACTATATCTCTATTTTATAAGATATTAACTGCCTGGCCAAAGGGCCTAAATTAATTTTTATGAGGGCCCCTGTTAATATTTATCCTGGTTTTTGATTTTGTGAGAATGTATTTTGAATTGGAATAATAATTATTAAGCAGTTAATAATCGATTAGTGATAACACTAATAATTTGGCATACATAGACCTTATAAAAATAAACAACTAACTTTTTTACAACATTATAGTCTATATTTTGTAATTCTTGTTTTCCTAGATGGATTCATCAGTATCTGCATTAAAAGAAAAGTATATTGTAGTTATAAGATCATTAACATACATTAGTTAATCAAATAATAAAGTAAATGAAAAGCATAATATGATAATTTCAATAAAAAAAAATTGAATCTTTTCAATTTTTCCTTATGTTAAGTTTGTGGGAAAAGTATTGCGTCCTTTACATGGTCAATGGTGTCTCTAAACTTTTGCAGACAAGAGACATTGACCTCCATAAAGCATTGGATAGATTATCTGATGGCTAAACTTGTATGCAGCAACTAAATAATGAATATTGTAGTGTAAGTGCTTGAAAATTCAAGCAACCGGACAATTAAATGGGGTATTCCAAAATGATGATAAAACAGCTCTCAAAAAATAAAATCCAAGATTGTATTTTAATGAAGTAGACGGTGACAGAAGGATAATTATCATACAAAATAACTTTAAAATAAAAGTATTTTTTCAACTGTTGACACAATAATATGTCAACATAAATATTGAACTAAATATTTCTTATAGAATCTGCATTATGATAATACTATGTATAAAGAAATACAGATTAATTAATTATAAAATAGCAATATTAATTTTAATAATAATAATTAAGATAATAAAAAGTAGGTATATAGGTGTTAGTTTATAGGTAATACCATTGAGTATAGATAGTATAGAGAGACCATCTTACCTACATTAGTTATAATAATATTATTCAATTACAACGAAATAACTAAAATAGTTATTCTATTATTATTATTTTTATTATGTAATTTCGTCCAAATTTGAATTTAAAATGTCTGTAAAAAATAACTGTGTTCATATATTATTTAGATTTTTTGGTTAGGTACAGTATGAACTATTTATAAGAACCTTTGCTTTAAATTTGCAATCCTTAGCTATAAAAACTGAACATTTTATAATTTATTAATTACAATGATTGATCATTTTCGATCAATTTTGTCAAAATTCGATCTTTAAATGCTTGTAAAAAAAAATTGTGCCTATGTATTTTTAATATTTTTCAATTGCTATTGTAACAATATATCAGGAACCTTGTATTAAATTTTTACACTTTTTGGCCCAAAAGATAAAACTTTATTGATATTTATAGAAAAAAAAACTAAAAAAAATGAAAGCTGTAAATGTCCGTAAACAGCTCAAAAAGAGTCAAAATATTTTCAAAATTGTATAATGTATAGGAAATACTAATATAAACATTCAGTGAAATTTTCATGCATATACAGTTATTCGTTTTTGAATTACAACAAAATAAGGAAATCGCTACATGAAAAATCGAGTGAATATCAAATGTTGTAAAAATTTGAATTTCCAACGCTCATACAAATTTAATTTTACTTTCTTATAGAAATTTTTTTTTGATAAAGGTAGATAATCTTATAAGGAATCTTGTATTACATTTTCAAATCTTAGATTTAAAAAGAAAAATTTTTACGAATTCTTAACTCAAAATAATTTGCTAATTTTCGTGATTTTTCCATATTTTGTCAATTTTGAACTTTAAATGCTTATAAAAAAAATTGCGACTAAGGATTTTTAATATTTTTCATCTGCCTTTGAATTAATATACTAGGAGCCTTCTATTAAAATTTCAAGCTTTCGCAACCAACAAATAACATTTAATTGATATTTTTAGAAAAAAAACAAAAAAAAAATGGAAAATGAAAATGTCCCTAAACAGTTCAAAATATTTTGAAAATGTTATCGTGTATATAAAATACAAATATAAGCAACAAGTGAAAATTTCATGTATATATACATATGTTCATTTGTTTTAGAGTTAGGTACACCAAATACCAAAATCGATTTTTTGGAAAACTGATTTTGCGTAAAAATTCCCGTTTTACCTTAATTTTTATGTTGTTTTTCCCGGCGCTTGTGAAAACTACTATTTTTACTTGTGACCCCCCAAAGTACCAACTAGATTCACTTTCCTATCAGAAAAGCTACTGTTGAAGAAGATCCAAGCACTTTTACTGTCCTAAAACGTGATGACAGACACAAAAAAAAACACACATCATTGTAAAATCAATACATCCATCATCGTTCCACTCAGAATCTAAAATGGGCAATGGCTATGGTTACCAGAATGTTATCAAGCATAGGTAGGTATAATAACATAAAAAATAATACTTATCTCAAGTCCTGTGTTAGCACATTATGACTTAAAACTTTCTATAAAACTCACGGTCGGTTCTTCGTCATATGCACTAGGTGCAATCATATCGCACACTTATCCTGACCACTCAGAAAGATAAATATTGCATAGGCATCACGAGTATTATCAGACAGTGAATGCGAATTTCCACAAATTGAAAAAGAAGGTCTATCCATAATTTTTGGGGTTCAACAATTTTACTATTATTTATACTGTAGAAAATTTACAGTAGTTAATGATCACAAACCGTCAATCCACATATTTGGAGAAAAAAAAGGAATACCAATTTATGCTGCGTATCGCTTACAACGTTGGGCGTACCTTCAGGGCATACCTAGCATTCCTTCATTTGATTTTGAAATTAAGTATATTAAATCAGAAAGAAATACTCCTGATTTTTTTTTCACGCATTAAAACAAACCAATGTAACAATAATATTAATGAATATGATGACGCTCACATTAATTTTATTCAGTAACAGTCACCATTTTCGCTAAATTGGTACAAAATTAAAATTGAAACGAAAAGGGATCCTATTACCTCTAGAGTATTAAACGCTACAAAAACATGTTCATGGATAGTAGCGACTTTTTAGATAAATTCCGAATTAAACTCATTTAATACACTCAAAATCGAAATTACAGCTGAACAAGATTGTTTATTTAGGGGCTATAGAGTAATCATACCAACCAAATTTCGTAAGTCAATTCTAACCGAACTGCATTCTTGTCAAATTGGCATGTCAAGTTTGAAAAGCATTGCGCGTTCGTATTTCTGGTGGCCTATTATAGATAAAGAAATTGAGGATATGGCCCGCAACTGCAATGAATGCATAAATGCGAGATCTAATCCTCTTAAGTCAGTACTAACTCCGTGGAAATCATGAGCATAATTCTTATTCCTTATACTATGGTAGATTGTATTTATAGGCCATAATATTTTGATTTTTCAGTTTCATATATCTCCGAATAATATTTTTAAATTACAACAAAAACAAAGATCGTTAATATTGATTTTAATATGTAATTTCGTCCAA